CTGAATTTTAAGGACGCAGGAAGTGAGAGATATAGGACGGAAACTCGAGCCGTGAGGTTTGGGTATGAGATGAACGATAAAATGAAACCATTGCTCAGGAAAGGAAGATGAACGGTAAAATAGGTTTAGGGGGCATAGGGGACATGATAGGATCTTCTCAGGAAGGGCCCCGAGAAGACGATAGTCCACGCCATCTAATCCCGGACTGGAAGATTTCTTGACGGAGTTCAGTGCAGTTCTAATTTCGTTAAGAGAAAAGAGGGAGTCAATCCACGCCAAGGATGCTAGCGATGTGTCCGGAAGTACTGGGATAGGGGTGGAGCAAGAAGAGAGGCAAAATTTATCAATGGAATTCTGAGCCAGGCTGGAGTTATTTTCGAGGCTGATAGTTCCAGGCTCACGGTTGGGAGCCAGACGACGGCGTTTGAAACATTTGGGCATATGCCAAACTTCGGTGGTTGGAGTGAGGTGGCTGAAATTTTCGCAGAAGTCCTTCTAGTAGCCTTTGCATTTGTCTCGCCGAAGAATCTTGCGTTTGGCGAACGAATTCACGATATGTTTCATAGTTTTCTACAGACGGAACTTGTTTGTAAGCCTTGAGGGAAAAAGAGCATGACCGGATGGCCTCATCGCACTCTGGAGTCCACCAGGGGGCCGGCGGGAAGAGCGATCTCCGCCGTTATGATGTTGCGCCTTACTATAGGACTTGGTTGAAGATAATTTTTGCCGAAGCAAGATTTGATGCAGTGGATGAAGGTATTGTAACCTTCCTCTGGAATGACAGAAAGAGCTGCCGAAGAAGTTTTTTCAGTAATTCCTTCAGCGTGTTCTGCGAGCCAGACCTCAACGCATCGCCTACTAGACACGGAAGAGGCGAATCCTATTAGAAAAAATATTGACAAAACAAGCCAGTGAGTTGATGGTATCAAAGATAGGAAAATGATCGCTATTCATTATATCCTAGCCGATATTAATGTTACAAATGGGAGATATATCTGAGGATGAAAATACGAGGTCGATAGTAAAAGGAGCTCTAGTAGGAAAGTAGGCGTGAAATCAAGGTTGAGGCAAGATAGATTCGAAGAGTCAATAAATTCACATAAGGTTGAGCCCGCCAAATTGGAGCGCTTAGAGCCCCAGAGGGAATAATGGGCATTGAAGTCCTCCATGAAAAGGACCAAAGGAAATTGGTTCATAAAGATATAGAGAGAGTTAATAATACTCCTGGTAAAAGAGAAGTTGGGGTAACAGTAGGTTCCTATGATGGTGAGAGGAGATTTATTAGTAGTGATTTGAAGCACCAAAATTTCTAAGGGGAGAAGGTTGGGCGGTTTATTTAAAATAGTGTACCGAATCAAACTGCGAATCAAAACAAGCATGCCTCGAATGTCGTGGGATGTTGAGTCATAGTGGAAGCAGTCAAAGTCCCAAATTGAGAAGACTTGATTGGGGTTCAAGCACGTTTCAGCGAGAAAAATGATATCCAAGTCCTCTGATATTTTTTCTATTTCAGGCATCTTGGGATGGGCTCCGCGGCAGTTCCAGAATAAGAGTCTAGTGGCATGAACAAAACTGTCGGAGTGTTATTGTGTGGATTAATGTCCATTACGCGCAATATTATTGAAATTCGCAACAGACTCGTGGATTTGTCGGATGCCGATACTCAACTGTGGATCACCAAGAGTTAACGAAAAGTTGCTAGAGATCTTTTGAAATAAATTCGATAAGACGTTTATGAGATTCAGTAAATCAGAGATTAGGCTATAACCTGGCGAAGAGTTAGAGATATATAACGGATGGGGGGAGAGAAAGAAAAAGGAAGGTAGAGAGATGAAGTAGATGGGGATAGGCGGGGCGTGAGAATTCTCCCATCTACCATTAGGAGCGATGAGGCAGAATTGGTGTGCTTTACGTAAGTTTTGGGTCCCCGAGAAAAGGATTGAAAAGTTGTTTGGCTCGGTGGTGAAGAATATTGCGCTAAGAGGTAGTGTTACCCGAAGGAGGGGAACGAACCCTATCACTATAGGACTGTCTAACATTGTAGGAGGATGCAGAGCCGAATTTCGGGATAAGGCCAAGAGTTTCATATGGGTTCACATCGTGGTAAAAGGGGAAGGGGAGTAGGTGGAACAAAAGGGTCAAAAAGGTGGAGAGGAGGAGGAGAAGGAAGGAAAAATCGTTGAGAAGAGGAGGGGAAGAAGCCTGTGGGAGAAAAGAAGAGGAGATCCCCAGTCTGCTACGAGCCTCCGCATAACACATTCTCCAGGGCAATATATTTGATATACGAGTACTTGTCTTTGCTTGATATAGAAAAGATACTTTGTAGAATAAGGAAAATGTTCCTGGCCACAATTACAGCATCTAGGAGGAAGTTTTGATGGCGAGGGCATTCGTCGGGCTTCTCATGTCTGTTTTGTCCGCATTTGGAACAGTGTGCCGCGCTTTTGCAATTCGAGCTTATGTGCCCGAATCTTAAGCATGAAAAGCACATAAGAACGCGAAGAATATACGGAATAACCGAGAAGAAGACATGCATAAAGGTTAGGGATCTAGGGAGCACTTGATCCTAGAACTTCCCTCACGGAAAAATACTATTAAGAATCAATAGTTACTGTTGGTATTCCAGTAGTTACTACTGAGACTCTAGTAATTACTGAGACTCCAGTAGTTACTATTGAGGCTCCAATAGTTACTATTATGACTCCAATAGGTTGAACTTCGGAGAACCTGAAAATAATTATTATAATAACGCTAGATTCAAGGAAAAATTGATACATAAATAAAGTAAGTAAAGTAAATAAAAATCATTATTTGCATCATTATAAAATCACTGTCAGTTATGTTTTAATTATTTATTTATGAAATTAATTCCAAATTGGATCAAACATAAATAGTATTGCACCATAAAAAGTTAATTAGATTATATTTTTCATTATAACATTTGTTATCATGAGATACACAACACATGAATGACGGAAACGGTACCACCCTTACGGAAAAATACTATTAAGAATCAATAGTTACTATTGGTATTCCAATAGTTACTACTGAGACTCCAGTAGTTACTACTGAAGCTCCAATAGTTACTATTATGACTCCAATAGTTTGAACTTCGGAGAACCTGAAAATAATTATTATAATAACGCCAGATTCAAGGAAAAATTGATATATAAATAAAGTAAGTAAATAAAAATCATTATTTGCATCATTATAAAATCACTGTCAGTTATGTTTTAATTATTTATTTATTAAATTAATTCCAAATTGGATCAAATACAAATAATATTGCACCATAAAACGTTAATTAGAATATATTTTTCGTTATAACATTTATCATCTTGGTATCGTTTCCATCATTCCATCATGCGTTGTGTATCTCATGATAACAAATGTTATAATGAAAAATATAATCTAATTAACATTTTATGGTGCAATACCACTCGTGTTTGTAACTACTGGTAATAGTAACTATTGACTAACAGTAACTATTGGCCAACAGTAACTATTGACCAACAGTAACTATTGGCCAACAGTAACTATTGGCCAACAGTACTAATTATTAGCCAAATTACTATTGACCATTTTACCATTTATTAATAGTTTTTTTTCCGTAAGGGTTAGCCAGAACCGAGTAAGTAGGAATCAGCTCATCTTTGCCGTCTTTCCGCTCCCTGCGACAAAGCCTACGAACCGAAACTATCTTCGCAGCAGAACTAGGGATGGGCGATGTTGGAAAAAAAGATTAATGCTAAATTAATCGATGTTTGAATTCATCGATGTTGGATAATCTATTATTTATCAAAAATATCGATTAATCGGTTATTTTGAAAGAAGTATTTTTTAATTGTAGAAATGACTTTATAAGAGATGATTTTATAAAGGAATAACGCAAATTAATGAATACATTTTATTTTATTTTTGTCTCTCTCTCTCTCTCTCTCTCCCTCTCTCCCTCTGATAAAATAATTTCTCAGGTTTCAGTTTTCCGAAATGCGGTGCACTTGTAGGTTGATGCTGAAACTATAAATAATTTTCAGAAAAATTATATTATTGTTGCTAATGCATGCTTTTACAACAAACCATAAATGCAGACATTGTTTAATGAACGTATAGTATTTTGGTTAAAGGAAATAATATGTTTTCAAGGAAATAGTTCAAGATGGAAAGTTCTGTTTAATTGGAAGTAATGCATACATAACATTTTCAACTATTTTACATACGCATCTTACACAATACGCAATTAAACATTTAAATAAAATAAATATTTGTAAACCAAGGGATAATCTTGTAATAAAACATAAATCTCACTTTCAATAAGAAGAATAAACAAATTAAAAGCAAAAATAAACAAAACAGAATAGACAAGTATCAAAATCACAGTACAGTACAAAATCACAGAGTAGAGACAAGTAAAATCATTCCATTGTGATTTGTGACACGACCTTATTAAATGAAAAATAATTTTTTTTAAAAATACCGATGTTTAACATAAAAAATCGATGCATCGATGCATTGTTGAGAAGAACATCAAGTGGATTAATCGATTATTCGAAAAACACTATCGACCATTTCGATTAATCGGCAAACATCGCCCATCCCTAAGCAGAACTGCAGTGTTGCCGTTTTTAGTGAATTTTCACTATTTTAGTGATTTTTAAGGTCTTTTGATGATTTAGTGAATTACTTTCTTTATTTAGTGAATTTTTATGTCAGCGTCCTCTACTCCTCTTATTTTGTTTTCAGTTCCTGATTGGACCATATTAACATAAACCAATCAAATAGCGTTTTCTGAAAGAATAGTGAGAACAAAAATGGATGGCTACATTTATAGTACATGTTTAAATACGACCCCGATTTAAGCGTAGTATCCCATCCCATGATGCATCATGATAGTTAAGTGACGAAATGTCAGATGGCGTGGATCATGTTCGGGGTCGCGAGTCTTCCATTCTTATTTTCACTATTCTTTGTTTGTCAGTTGTCTTAACTGCTTAAACTGCTGCATCATAAGCCGGTTGAATTCCGGCTCAATTCATTCCGGAAAATTTTTAAGTTTCTGGACTCTCGTTATTGTATTGTATGGTAAGATCTTTGCTTAGTTATTTACTTTTGCAATCATATTCGTTATATAGTTTATATTCGTATCTTATTTCTTTAAATTCTTGCCTTTTATTATATTTGCTTCTTATCAATATGATTAATTAATAATTATAAGATCTGCTTTAACCAAATATTGGATTTCTCTTATTTAATTAACTTATTTTTATAATGAACAACTCTATATTATATCTATATTATACCTACATTGATATTATAACTACTATTTACAGAGTTTTGGTCTATGCATATAGCTGCAGTAATATTAAATCAGTATTGTCTGTTGCTGACAATTTGCATAAGTACAAATAAATCTTGAGTGCAATTGTTTGATGTTAAGATGTTAAGTTTGATGCCAACACGGATATTTAAAGTCCTGCTTAAACATAAAAGTATTTTTATGTTGTATCAGTTATAACATAGTGATATATAATAACTTCAAGGACATATTAAAGTAAGATAGTACCACTGTAAGCAAATTTTAAGATACATTTTTTATATTTATTCCTGTACATACGTATGCATTTATATTTACATAGCTTTATTTCCGATAGATCGGATTTGATATGGACGAAGACGATGAATATGATGTATATTTAACGGACAACGAAAGGGTATCATCTTCGACTAGCGATAAGAAAAAGAAGAAATATTCTCAGAAATATAGATCTGAATGGGAAAACCACAACGAATTTAAATCGTGGCTTAAAAGAAGTAATAAAGGTTTAAGTTATTTTCATTGTAAAATATGTTCAGTAGATTGCATTGGTGGATTGGATGCAATTAAAAAGCATGCCGCATCTATAAAACATATAAAAACGGTAAAGTCTGTTCAAATGCCAGTAATAAATATGCAATTTGTTAAAAAAGCCAAAGAAACAATGTCCAAAACCAAAGATTTTGAATATAAAATTGCATCATTTATTACAGAGCATGATATTTCATTTAATACTTGTGACCATTTAACCAAATTAATCAAAAGTATTAATCCCGATGCCGAAGCTGTGCAAAATATAAAATGCAATAGAACTAAATGTACTCAATTAATAAAAGATGTTATAGGCCAAAAAGCTTTTGAAGAAATTATTGCTAAACTCAAAATTCACAAATTTTCGTTGATAGTAGATGAAAGCACTGATCATAACTGTGTAAAACATTTAGCAATAATTGCAAGGTTTTCAGAAAATTTTGAAATAAATGATACGTTTGTAACTCTGCTACCCATTGTAGATGGTAGTTCTGCAATAGCACTATATAACATTATTATAAACTTTTTTAATAAATTTGAAATACCATTTAAAGAAAACATGATAGGCTTTGCGGCTGACGGAGCTAATGCAATGATGGGTGATCGTCATTCTCTAAAAACTATGTTAACTAAAGATATACCTGGACTTTTTGTATTAAAATGTACCTGTCATTCTTTAGCTTTATGTGCATCATATGCTTGTATGAAGTTACCTAGAGGACCTGAAGATTTTGTACGCGATGTACATTCATACATGAAATATAGTTTTAAAAGAATGTCCGAATTTAAAGATTTTCAAAACTTTGTAGACACAAAACCACATAAATTACTATTACCAGCTCAAACTCGTTGGCTTTCTTTGATATCGGTAATTAAAAGGGTCTTAGAGCAATATGATGCATTAAAACTTTATTTTCAATCTCAATATCTTAGTGATAAAATACAAGCATCTGAAAATATTCATAAGAAACTTCAAGATCCTTTAAATAAGATTTACTTAGAATTTTTGGAATATATCTTGCCAGTATTTACTAGTATGAATATGGAATTTCAAGCAGAAAAGCCTAAAATTCATTTATTACATGACAATATATCTTCAGCGTACAAAACAATTCTCGAATGTTACATAAGAAAAGAAATATTAGCCTCCCAAGATATAAATGAAATCCAATATAGAAATCCACGCAACTTTGCTCCAATTGATAATTTATATTTAGGACCAAAAGTAAATGGACAATTGCATAGATTAGAATTAGATGAAAAAATTACTGCTCAAGAAAAACAGGATATAAAGCTAAGATGCTTGGATTTCTATATTGAAAGTGCTCATCAAATATATTTAAGATTTCCGTTCAATGCACCACATATACAAGCTCTAAAATATTTAGCTTTCCTAGATCCAAAAAAAATGGATTCAATTATTTCATTAGGACCTGTAGCAACATATTTCGAAAATATATTATTAAAAGTCGATCTTAATGAACTAGACAGAGAATACAGACTCCTCCGTAATAGTAATGTAAATAAAAATCAAGAAATTTTGGAATTTTGGAGGGAAGTAGGTAATCTAAAAAAAGGTGATAATACTCGTGCTTTTCCTGTAATAACACAATTTGCATTTGATATATTATGCTTACCACATAGCAGTGCTTGCGTCGAAAGAATATTCAGTACTATAAATTTAAATAAAACAAAAGTGAGAAATCGATTAGGTACTGAAAGTTTAATTGGTATTTTACATACCAAAAGATATATACATGAAAATGGTGGAAATTGCTACAATCTTATCACTGCAAATTTAATGACTAAAAAATGAAACTTGTAATTTGAAGGTGACTTTTCATATGCAGCACGCTGCGACAGCAAAATATCACGTGATTCAAATTTTCGAGAATTGATTGGAAGTACCTCATCTCACGAAGATTTTCAACCAATAATAGCATTTTGCTGCCGCAGCATGCTGCGTATGAAAAGTTATCTTTATGAGCAATAATGTAAGCGGTAAAATGTAAGAAGTTGGTTATTCAGGCCCAGTTCCACAACTCATGGTTAACTCTTAACTGAGGTGCAATTTGTTTCTCTCATCTCTTTCCAATTCTAGAATTAGAAGGAGACAATAAATAAATTGAACCTTGGTTAAGAGTTAACCGTGAGTTATGGAACTGGGCCTCAGAAATATATTGATTTGTTTTGTATGTGTATAGTATACGCGTATGTGATAACAATGAAGACTATTAATGGTTAATGCGTAACAAGTTTATTTTTATTAAAAATGTATCTTCTTTTGATAGTAAATTTTATAACCAAAATAAATATATTTTAATACATGGCAAACGTGGTTTTCACAAATTATTTGTGACATGGCACATTCCCGACACGATTTGAAAGTCTGTAAAAACCTTTTTTTTTTTTTGGTCGTGTCACACATTTGGTGATTTTTCAGATGTTTTAGTAACTTTTCAGGCTCCCATTTGGTGAATTTATTTTTGGACCCGCGGCAACACTGCAGAACTGAATTCATCGCGGATCGTCTCTTCAGAGATATCCAAAGGGACGTTTTTAAGAACTCCGGTTCTCATAACTCTAAAGGCTGGGATTGAGGCTTTGAGGTTATGCACTTTAAGAGCTTTTAGATATATCAGATTATTCTTCTTCTCATAATTATTAAAAGAAACTGAAATCTTGTTTCGGCCCACTGACTTAACCTCTACGATATTGTTATTTCTAACTAGCTCAGAAATCACGCGGCTGACCATAACCGGGTTGATACAAGAAGAATCATTATTTGGATCTTTTTTGGATTAGGAACACGTGGTGGTAAATCTTTAGAGTTATACTTGCAGATAAAATCCTGAGTAAAGATCAAACGTCCTCCGAAAGGGCTGACAGATACTTTTGTCGGGGGATCCCCGGGCGAGCTCTCACCATCGTATAATTGTTTAGCCTTCGTGCGGGCTCCTACTTTATTCTTTTTTTTCCTTCGTCCTTGTCAATCACCGATGGAGAACTTATCATGTCATCCTCGTGACCGAGCCCTATGCGATCCCGTACCAGAGCGCTAGACGAGTGCAGCGAAATGTCGGATACAGAAGGTTCGCTGTCTTCTCCCTCCGAGGGGAGGGGAGAGCGAGATTTATCTAAATTCTTGCGAATAATGTCGATTGGTGTCGGATTAACTTTACTAGCCGAGATCTTATCTGAAACCAAAGATGGTTGATTCTTGCGCCCTTTATTCGATTTCTTACCTTTTTTTCCTTGAGACATCTCTGACAAAGGTTCGGTAGATAACGACTTAAGATATTGCGTCACACTCGATGTGAGTCATCTTAAAAGAAACAAGGTTCTAGAGAGCGACTTATTAGCGTTATCAACGAATGTATCAAATTTATTTAGCGATACAGAGGCAACAGTAGAAACGGCTAACTTAGGCGAACTCGAGGTCCATTTTCCTCCCAGATCCGGGTCTAAAGGGCCCGTGTGCGGGTCCTTTCGCATGCCACAGCCATGAGGGATCCGGCAAATAATAGGAAAATCAGGAAAGGAACAAAGGAAAAAGAAGAGAAGATTTTGCGAAAAAACGTTCGAAATATACACTTTCTATGCATGAAAAACACGATTCGAATACTACGCAAGTGCAGAACACGTCCGTATCGGTTGACCGCTCGAACGAAAATTCTGTCGAACAATTTACAGGCTAGCCGAGCTGTAAGATAGAATTATCTAGAACCGTCAATTTTTTATTTTGTTTGATGTGGCGTTCCTCTATGCGCCTGCGTATTGGACTGTCCTGTGATTGGCCCTTACGGCCACGTGATTTGATTGTCCCACGTAACTGGTTTTGCCGTAGTAGCGTTTGCGTGATAGGTCGCGCGTAGAAAGAAAATGGAGTGAAGGCGCGGCGTTATCTTGCGGGAGGCATTCTGAATTTATACGAAGAGGAGAATAAAAGTGTCTGAAAATATCACTGTGTCGTGCTCGGGAGTGTACATGCACCGGCAGGAATGGTGTTTTCTGGCGTTCGGCGTGCGGCGCTACACACTCGTACCGAATAGAAACCCTCTAATCAGAGTCACGACACGAGGAACAGCCAATTTTGATTGGTCCGTCATTTTTCAGCAATTCCCGTTAATATTCGAATGTCAATATTGTAGAAACCCAGACAGCATACGACATCCATTGGACATCCAGATTTGGTCTCAATCTGGTCCAAACGTCCATGGACTTAGTACGAATGTTTTAAAAACGTACGTTATTCAACATACAAAGTATGCTCACATTTGGACATTTTAAAAATATTCATTTCATACAAAAAATTTTCTAAATCTGCTCGCGACGTTGCTTTAGCTGATTTGAAAAGTGAAAAATTTTTTTTAAACCGCGCGAAGAATTTCACTTTTGTTAGTATGTACGGACATCTTTTGAACGTCCCATGACGTCCCTAGGACATCTGTGCTGTGATGAAAATTTTCAACGACGAAAAATCTACCCAGATAACCAAGATGCGATATCCCACAAAATACCGCTATACTGTTACTGAACATGATGTAAAAGTACAGTGTATGATTTCCTAACCTGAAAATAGTCATAATAACATTAAGATTAAATATTAGACAGTAACTGACTGGATGTTCAGTTGAACTGCACAAATTTCTATTAGGACCATATTGAACAGATGTATCGTAATTATATATCCATGATTATATAGGTATTCGTGGATCATCGAAGTGTAGCGGTTTTCATACGATTTCAGAAGTCAAGCATAGTGAATGGCGGTATGTAACCGGATGGGTGACCGCTTCGAAGCACTATGAAATTAGTTCCCGAATTCAGGGAAAAACTTTTTTTTATTATAATTTTATGATGCCTATTATGGAATAAGATATTAATCAATAATAATACTTATATAAAATCATTTCGTTTCGATTGTGGTCTAAAATTTGTTTAATGTATTAATTTGGTCCAGTTTTAGTCAATTGCGTCCTAAAATGGACATTTTTAAAAAGTTCAAAATGGTAACACTGGATGTTTTTGAAACGTTTTTAAAATATCCATGGATCTAATCTGGATGTTTTTAATAAGTCCAGAACATCCAACATGTATGTTTTAAATACATTTTTAAAACGTTACTGTGCTGTCTGGGAATGGGCGATGTGCATATCGATACCCTAAAAATCGTGTGTAAACTAATCTATTTTGTGAAAAATCAATTTTTCCAACCAAAACAAGCATAGAATGACAGAAATAGCGTTAATAGCATCTCCCCGAACGCACCTATTATACGATTGAAGTAACGTTTACTAAAAAAATTATGCAAAGTATACCTGCGTAATATAATAAGAAAAAAGATTAACTTATTAAATAATCATAATTGACATATAAAAAATAAATAGAACTTTAAAAAGACACAGAGTTGTCACATATTTTATTAACTTTCTTATAATGAAACTGTACAAATATGTTACTTAACCTCGCAGAAATATGCATTTTTCGATGGTGTCCAATATTTTCCAACATTTGTCGCCCATAATGCTCGACGTTCAACATCACGCGGAAATATTTTCATTATGTAGCCTTTGGCTGCAGAATTATTGCAAAAAATGGGACTGTACACCCAATCATTTTGCAATAATTTTTAATAATGTTCTAAAAGTCGTACTACAGAAAGATTTATCTTACAAGATCACGACTCACACGAGAACTATGAAAGTTAGAAAGAGACGCAACATATTCCTCTCTCTTTCTTGTGATTTTGCTGAAACTAGAGACTCTTAATATAAATAGACTATAAAGAGAGTCTCTAACTAGAGTCTCCGTTCCTCGTGTCGCGACTCTGATTAGAGGGTCTCTAGTATCGAAGCGCACACGTACGTGTTACTGGAAACGCGGAGGAGGCGAGGAGCGCAAAGGAAGAAAGTAGGGGGCGGTCCGATATTCTATCCTTAGCGCAAGGCGCACGATTGAGAGAAAGCGTAATTGGACGTGATGCCGGCTCGCAATGTCCTTTCGCTGTCTCACACATTTGTTACTAATACGAGTGAGATACCCCGGTGTCTCTCGCTGGTCAATATTCATAATAATACTTTTATTGTGCACAAAATGTTGTAATTATGCATAAAAAATTTTAATCCTGTAAAATACTGTAACGCTGCGCCGCGCGCCAGGGGATACCATTCCTGCCGGTGTGCGTACCCTCCTTTTGTCTTTTTGCATCCCCAGGAATTCCTGGTTACGACCCCTAACGTTTACGGGGTTACCCTCCGGTTTCCCTATTCAATAAAAACCTATCACGGAGAAGTATCCGTTTGTCCCAGGCTTAAGCGGTTAGACTTGAAGTCTCATCTCCGCCTTACATAGATGAATCTTAAAATAACAAATTATTAGAAATTAATTCTGTTAATAAATCATGAAACTTTTAATGATTTTAACTACATACATACACTGTATTATTAATATATTATACAATTAAACTTATTATTTAAGTAGTAAATTTTTCAATATACAATAGTATTGAATTATACAAGCGAATTAAATACAAATACAGTATGTGGAATGTGGGATTTGTTGACTTATCGTTACATAACATTTCATATAGCAATATTAACATTTTCTTTTATAAATATAGATATTCAATACTGTTTCCATTTCAAGAACTTGTTAAAAATTACGAAAATAAACATTTCATATTATACATTTATATATAGTCAATAAAAGCAATGAATAACGAATTGCAAATACAAAATTTTGAAACTTTATATTTTATGCTATTCTCGTTTCTTCTATTATTTAAAAATATAAGGTAGAAATGTATTTATGTAAATATACAAGTTAATGGCATAAAATATGCGTAACAATATTACAAAGGTATAAATTTAATGATTTACCTGAAATGTTTCGACATAGTCATCGTTAACAATTTGTTGCTGAACACTTTTCTGCTTTAGCAACAGCAGCAGGTATGGTATCAGTAGTTTTAGATGATACACACTGTCCAAGTAATTCTGGACACGATATATCATTGGAAACAATGCCATGGATTTTTCTTAATAAATCATAATTGATGCGCTGCGTTATTACAGCATCGTGCCTATTTACACATATATTTTATTAAAATTATGTCGTTATATTGTTTAAAAAACAATACCGACAGTTCGAAAAAAAAAAATATTTGCTTACTTATATTCAGGATGCGAAGTGACCTCTTTTCTCAGCCAAGCAGCAGTTGTTAAAAGCTCACCAGAAGCGCGTTTCTGTATTAATTTTAAATATCTTTGGATAGTACAATGTGTATCAGCATCTACATTCATGTTAGCTAAATATGAGTTTACAAGTGGCACGAGACCAGGAAAAATGCCATTCTGAAAAAACATGGAGTGGTAATAAAATTCATTTATAAAGTGTACGTTTAGTCTTAAATTCTTATAGAAAACAGACAAAATATACAGGGTGACCCATTTTAACTTAGACAGCCAAATAACTCTAAACATCGCGATTAAACAAAAAAATGTTTAAAACAAAAATTGTTGGATATGAAGGGGCTGATTGAACTATGACCTTGACCTTCATTTTCAAGGTTATTTGAAAGTCAATTTTCAATTTTCAAATAGAAACTCATATTTTTGATCCCGGATTTTGAAAGAGCGCAAAATTTTACGTCCAGATGAACTTTCATATTATGGGTCAAAGTTGACAATAGAGGTCATTTCAAAGA